CCAGCCCAAAATGATGTCACTGATAGTTGAAAATTTAGTGACTTTATATCACCAAGACATTACCAGGGTACTCCAATTGTGACCATAATAAGTGAGGCAGGAGTTAGGATTCTATGAGGCAGTAGGGATAGACGCCCCCAAATGGAGTCAGGAAACCCAAAATGCAGTCAGCTGTGTCATGCCCCTCGGGGATCTCACAAAACATCAGCCTGGGGGTCCTTTGGCTGTCAGGCACTGCCTCAGAGCAAGGTGGGGGTGCTACCGGCTCAAGGGCACATGGGGCCTGCATGGACACTGCATAGATTGGACCCCACATGGACACTGCATAGATTGAACCCTGAGAAGTATGTAGTCTGCTATAGCATAGAGATTTATTGTTTACATGATGGCCCAAGCTCCTGTCTGCATCCCTTAAAAACCCACAGACAACGAGTCCTTGCTGTATCCTACTCAGAGCCTCCTCCTGGCAGGTGGGAGCTTTACTTCCTGGCCTTTCTGCTTTTCACGTTCTTGCTTTTATACCTCCTTCATCCAAGGTTTCATTCTTCATTGCCATGGGATACAACCCTGGTGTTCTAGTAACACACTTCCCTTGAGTGTTAGGTGTCCATTTTCATTCAGGTTTTAGTTGCCCAGGTTGTGCTTCAACTCCTGATCCTCCTGCCTCAGCCTCCCAGAGTGCTGGGATTATGGGCCTGTACCACCCAGCCCAACCTTAGTTGATCTTCAGATTCCTGCATCTGCAAACCAGGCTGGTACATACTGAACATATTTGAACTTGTTGAACACATTTGTTGAACAAATTTCCTGCCCAGATTGGAAAAACTAAGAATATATTTTGAAGAGTGGATTTGCTGGGCTACGAATTGTGCAAATCTTAACATTAGCAGATATTATCAATTTGCTCTCTGAGATGATTGTACAGAATAGATATTGATTTTTTATTGATTGATTGATTGAATGTCTTTTTGAGACAGGGTCTCACTCTGCAGTTCAGGCTGGCCTTGAGCTCACTTTGTAGCCCAGCCTGGTCTCAAACTTGCACGATCCTCCTGCCTCAGCCTCGCAAATGCTGGGATTATAGGTGTGCAACACCATGCCCGGCTAGAACCCATACTGAGAAGAATGGCCTTGAGTGTACTGACCTACAAAGTTATGCCACCAGCGAGAAAGGCATCCGGGAGAGAATCTTCTCCTTGGTGCTTTCGCTGAACCACGGAGCCCACTGGGGTGCTGCTGGGAGTCCATCTCCTTCCCCCAACCGTGAAAGTGGCAGGAAGTGAGGCGTGGCCCCCACAGGACACGAAAAGACAAGAGACAGAGAGCAAAGGCCAAGAAAATGTTCCTCCATAAGTGTAGTTTCTGATAGTACTGTGTACCTGCCTTCTACCCAGACACCGAGAGGCATGAAGTTTTATTTGATTAGGTGGGTCTGTCTCCAGCAGTCTGGGTCTTTTTTCTGTTCCCAATGTCAAACTCCACACCAGGAACAGTAGGACACATGGCCAATAGCTTGCTCATGGATGAGACTAACTACCTGGACACTCACTGGATTAATTCTGTTCAGAATTTATATTCTCATTGACGTAGTCAGGAGGAGAAATGAAGTTTTAGCTGTATCTGGCACACTTATGAGACTAAATATATATTTATTGAGTGAATAAAAAATAATTTGAAAAA